CAATAACGGTCGGGCACGTTCTTTTCATCACCCGAATGTGTTCTATAAATTGAGGTGCGCTTTCTTCGCCCATTTGGCTTGTCTGGAGCAAATCGGTTAGAGACACAATCGAAATAGGATTAAAAAATTTGGCATGAAAGGTTGCTTCCAAGCCTTCCCAGGTTTGGATTTGTCCTGGTGGCAGATTGGCAAACCAATAAAATGCCATCTTGATTAACGAGAGACCGAACAATTGCAACTTATGGTAAAGATTGTTACCAATTTCGCCAAGTTGAGTAGTGAAACGAATCACATGCTCAATAATGGAAAAGTCATCTTCTCCCGAAAAGACATGAAAACTTGGGGGCCGGTAATTCTTCGGGCAGGGGTGTTCATTTACGGTAATTCTTTGGCATCTGAGGGTTCATGCCAAAGTGCACCATCAATACATGGGCAACTTCTTCAGGATCCACCCTGGGTGGTGGATGATCAGGAATGAAAATAAGATCATAAGCTTAGCCTCTTGGTCGCTCTTCTCGCATATATCCTTTGGGAAAGGGGTCGGACCTCGTCCCCAAAGGGACATTGTTAAGGTAAGTGAGGGGGGACTCACCCCTATCCATCCTATTTGCGATGGTAACGCTCGGGACTATACTCTCAATGTAAGATGATCCAGCAAAATGTTCTTGAAGTCGTGAAGGAGGCATTCCTGACGACGCGGGAATAGACTGGAACGGGACCCTTGAGAAAGCTTGATCCAACATATTATGCATTAAGTTATGTTGATCACACAACATTACCTGTATTATTGTTGTTTATTGGTTGTTCAATTGTTGAACATATGCTAACCATTCGGATGGTACTTGAGACACTCCTCCTGTAATCAAGATAGTGGGTGAAGTTGTTGTGGTGGCTCCGACGGTTGTGTTGAGGCTCTGGGACTGAGAACCTGCCATGAGTTTTCTTTCAATGCTTCAACCGGATCGAAGTTGTATGAAGTTCTCATTTGAAGTAGGATCATCAATTTTGTCTCGTTTCCCACTGTGGTCGCCAATTTGTTGATGTGAGAAATTCAATAAATTAAAGTAAAATCTGAAAATAGATTTCGAACTTGATAAATTGTGTTTGAGATTAAAAATCTCTAAACACGGGACAAGATTAGACAAAACTAAGCTATAATTTAATTAGGTAGCAAAAAGTAAACATAGAGTAAATTTCGGGGGTTTCTTTATACGGCCACCCACAACGGGCGGTCATAACTGCCTAACATAGTACACTGGTTTTCGGGCACAAACTAGCCGAATCATTATGGTATCTGACCTACTATCCTTTGGCTCAAAACCTCACGAAACCATCGGTCCACTTAATTCCAGCATAAATACACTGGGCCACCGATTTGTTCTGCACCTCGGATATTAACTTACTAAAAATTTGGGAACCCACCTCCATATCGTGAGTCCATGGGCCCAAACCCTAAAATCTCGTGGCTTAGCAGCAACATTATGCAAAAATTGGAAAAATTTGTTGTTCTAACACTGTATGATGGAATTGACGCACCAAACCCTTTATAGAGATAAATACTGACATACGTACACTATTTGGACAGCTTAGGTTTGAACCCTTTCACCTTTTACCTGTGATGAAAAAACTTCTCTGTTTACTTTTATTTGTGTACCGGTGAATTCGTGCTTTGGAATAAGACTTCTATTGTGGCGACTGAAGGCCTTTTCCCGAGGGTAGACGGTAGGACGTGGAAGAAGAAAATGAGGAAGAAGAAGAAAAAGAGAGAATAGAAGAAGAAAAAGAAAAGTAAGAAGGGAGACAAACAGGAAGAAAAATAAGAAAACAAAAAAACGGTATGTAGAACAACAACAACAACAAGAAGAATAAGAAAAAGAAGAAGGAGAACAAGAGGAAGAAGACGACAATGAAGGGAAGGTATAACGGCAACTGCAAAAGGTTTTTAGGTTGAAGATGGTGTTTTTTCTATTTTTTAGTATGTTTATAATTGAAAATAATATGTAACAAATAAAAATATTATTATTATTAATAAATTTAAATCATTTAAGCTAACATAATTATTATCTATCAAATCACTATCTATGAGAATCTCTCAAATCCAAACAAAACCTATTAGCCAAAGGAATACGACTTTCTAAAACTACCAAAAATTCAAATTCAAACAACATTCATACTAAATCTTCTCAAACTAATCCCAAAGAAACACACCTTTTATATGGTTTTAAGCATACCTGTGAGCACGTCTATGAAGTGGGAGCAAAGTTGTCTAAAATCAAGAAGTATGAAGAATGTTTTGATTCCACCATGTTCAAAAGAACTTAACTTGCACTAGACTTGACATTTGGTTTTTGGTGGAAATCGTGAGTTGTTATATGGAAGTTCATAGCGAAGCACATTGGATGACGGCAAAGAGAATTTTTTGATATAACAAGTTATTTTTTGTTTTGGCCTGTTCTAGTCACTTCCCAATACTTTCAAATTGAGGAAATATTTTGATATTGATTTTGGGTAGAGATCTTCATTCTAAAAAATGTCGGATTTATGAAGGGATGAAGAGGAATAAGAGAATGTGAAAGGTTGTATCCCACGTCAAAATCATAAAGAAAAATAACTTGCCATATAAGCTATTGTATTCCATTACTAATAAATGAAAAATTGGATTGAAACATGGTTTGGGCTTATATGCTTGGGGCCATAGGAGCTCGTGGGCCTAGCCCAATAATAAAAATAATCCAATTTTAAATAAGTTTACTCTGTAAACTTTTACTAGAATAAGTAAATTAATTTATTGCAATGTGATCCAAAAATTACGGTGGTGGTTATAGACTTAAGGATTAACTAATACTACATTTCTCTTTGAATTTAAAAGAACAACCCAAAAACCACCCTATAAATATAAAGGCTATCGGATCGATTATTTTGACATAATTCTCATCCTTTTTTTGCTGAAAAATGCATCATTTTATCTCGAAAATTATTCTTTTCCAAATCTGCAAATTTCCTCTAAATTCTCTACCTCTGAGTTCGATTCGCAAAATATGATATTTTGTTAGTTCGTTCTATCATAGGAAGCAATCAGTCATGGACTTAATTTGTTTCAACGTGTGCAACCATGAAGATCGAATTCCGATTTTGGATATGTATAATTAGATTGGAAATTTTCTATTCGGATTTTCCCTCTTAGTTTTCACACTAGTAAAACTAACAGAAAAACAAGATGAGATTTTTATTTTTCTCATGGGTAATAATGCAATTCTATGGTACTCAAATAAATAATCTATTGTTTAGCTCTCAACTTGTAAGTGAATATGTTACCACAACGTCCAACACTTCCTATACTATTTAGCTTCAAATATTGTTGAAAGAACAAAATATTAATACCCATTTTCATTTATTTGAGAAAACATTAAGAAGAAAGAGGTAGAACTTTAATGTGGAGTTAAAAAAATAAGTTGCAGACACATTTACAAAGCCATTAGAGTTTGAAACTTTCAGAAGAGGCAAAATGCTTTTGGAATAATAAATCAAGTATGTATTGAAAAATACAAACTTTAATTGAGAATAAATATTGCCACCAACTACTTTTTGTTCTCAACGAGAGTTGATAGCCTATTTCTTATTAAATATTTATGTATTGAACAATTTTCCAAATATGATTTATGATGAGAATGTATGAATTATTATTATTATTTGTTTTTTATAGGATTTTAATTCTATAACAGGTGTAATTTGCAAGACAATCAAAGTGTGTTTTATTCTACTTTCTTTTTCTCTCTACCAAGTCTTTAGGGCCTCTCTAATAATGTAACCTGAAGTCCCGACTTGATTGGTGTTGTGTTGTGTAGTGTTGAAGTTTTATTCTTAGTGTTCTTCCCCGCCCCTCCAATAGTGTAAACCTTAAGTCCGGACTTGATTGGTGTTGTATGGTATTGAAGTTTGAAGCACTTTCATCCTTATTGGACTTATAAAACATATTTGTCACAACCCAATAAACTCTCAAATTTTCGGAAAAACTCATTTTGATGTGTTTGCTTTTGGCACCGTATATATAGTTTTTTTATCAAATGAATCGACACTTTGACTGTTACAATTCAATGATACTCTCCACCTTATTCAAGAGTCGCCTCACTAGTCAATAATTCTTCAAGTCACAAGAAATTTTCTTTGTAGTTTCGATTGTTGACATTACAAATAACAATTGAATTGTATACTTCCAAGAACTAGGAACCAAAATGTATAATGTTATATATGGTGGATGATCCTACTGTTCAACTTTCATGATCTTTTTTATAAAAATATATCTATTTTTACAAAATATCACAACAAGATTGCTGTTCAAATAAATATTCGAAAAAAAAAAAAGAAATTGCCAACCAAACACATTATCCATTCTAATTATTATCCACATTGTCAGCAACATTATAATCACCTTCCTATTTTCAAACTCACACCCATAACTAGATGTTACCTTCCAAATACATCAAGATCCACTTCATAGCCTGCCAATATTCTCTTCCGAATTCGGACATGTACTTACTAACTTAAGTGGCTACATACGCTATTTCAAGTCGATACATATAAAAACAAAACATCTAACTAAAAGATACATATTGATATAATTGGATTGTGACCTTGGGGGACTGACTCATTCAACGTTTGAAATGGCAGCCAGTCCAGTCCACGAAGTACTCCCGGCCTTCAAGCCGCGCAAAACATTTTCAATCTAGCAAGATTATGATACATCCAACCTTTCATATTTAAGTACTTACCTGACGGTGTTCTCAACTCAACAACATAGTACCACTTCTTAGCAACAAAAATCAATATTTCATCCACATAGAAGTATAAAATAAAAAAAAATCATGAAAAAAACCTTTAACAGCAACACAACAATCATTCCCAAAACAGCTGATGACAAAACAATTACTAGCAATCTGTCGTGGCTGATTGTTAATCTTTTCGCACAGATTGAGTTTAATTTGATTCAAATAGCCAATCACTTAAAAGTAATGAGAACCAGCAATGATCTAAGTTGGATTAAACATCAGTTTCCCCGAAAACATTTGGACCCAGATCAATTGATACATAGTAATTAAGTATAACAAACAATTAAAAGTAGAAGCCAGTAGTGTCTAATCGAAACTAAAAACCTTCATCATAATATCATAAACGTTTGGCTACCAAGACTCCCATTAATCCTACAGCAATCTCATGATGCTTGGCTTCAGAGAAGCCTACTTCCAATGCTAGCTTCTCCAGCTCATCTCCTGCAAAAAGTAAATTCGTAATCCATTTATTTGAAAAACCTAAAGCATGGCCATGGCAACAAAGTTAAATGCATCGATCTACCTGTCATGTATTCTCTTATTGATTTCAACACGTACTCATATATCCATTTTAGCCCGTACAAACTTACTATTGGAATAATCACATAACCGATTGCCCAATCCTGGAAATAAACAATGTATAGGATTAGTTTGGATGCAATTTATGAGTGTTATAGGGATTAGAGAATATTAAAAATTTGACAATGTAATAAAAACTGATGATTGATATGATCTTAGAGTACAAATAAATTTGTTATATAATACTCCTTCCCTCCTAGAGGAAAGTACCCTTTTGCTTTATACATGAAGTTTTAGGAATAATATTTTATGTTGAATGAAAAAATAAAAAACTTTGACTTATGATTATTTAAGAAATTTTGTGGAATAGTATTGTTTTAAATATGTTAATTGTACATTTTTTCTGCGCTGAGGGGGTATTTTTAATAAAATTTATTCTTATAACGATAATTTTCAAAATTTCTACTATTAAAAATCTTAAAATCATACCATCAAACCACTATTAAAATAAAAGATTGAACCAAAATACAAAACATCACCAATCTTGTAACAGCTTAAATAAAAGACATTTGATCGATCTGATAGTTTGAAGGGGAAAAAAGTAGGACGAATGAACAGAAGACTCGAGTGAAACCATAGACAAAAATAAATTCACATGCTCTGATATATATTTATATTTGACTTTGTATAGCATTTTCCTAAAATGATGGCTGGTATTTAATATAACACATGAATACAGTTAGAGATGTTTAAATTAAACACAATAGTGTTGGTTCGTATATAAATGACTAAATTATGGGTATTATAATATCTTAAATTTTTAGGTTAGATGATCATTTAACATCTTTTAATATGGCATAAGAGTTTCATTATCTTTCCGTAACAGGTAGACAATAATAGTTTTTATTTATTTATTTATTTATATATTTTTTGGACAAACTTGTGTTCTTTTGTAAGTTTTTCACAAATTTTTATTATTTAGTTTTTTTTTCCCTAAAAAAATATGACATCAAATAATTAATTTTTATTTTTTATATTATACTAAAAATTAATTTTATATTCAAACAATACCTATTTATATCACAATCAAACGACTATTAAAATTAATTTTTTACTATTCAAAAATTCCAAACCCAAAAATCAAATCCACAAAGGATTTATATTGGAGCATTGTTGGGAGGCCTAATGTTGTAAGAACAAAAACAGGCATTGAGATAAAAACATCCAATGAATGAACAATAAGAACCTGGAATTTCGATTTTAACCAGCTGGTGCTTTTGTTGAAGTCAAGAACAGAGACTTTCGAACCCGGTTTCAGCACCCGATGGATCTCTTCCATAGCCTTTTTCTTATCTATGATATTCCTCAATCCAAAACCCATTGTGACAGCATCGAAAGTCGAATCTGGAAATGGCATATTGGTTGCATCCCCTCGGAACCATCTGCAAGATTTGCATCACCACATGATCATGTTGTGTCCTCTAAGAATTATGTGTGAAATGTAATAAATTTGTATTGAACCTGTGATGATTTAAAAGGGGGCGGGGGGCTTGGCATTCGTGCTTACTCGATGTTATTAAAGCTGCGATTGTGATTCATTAGCTGGTGATGGCGAGATGCTGCTACCTGTAAGAAGTCCTTCGAAAAATCTATAGCAATCACCTATGAGGTAAGACATAGGAAATTAGCTTATTGTAAGTAAATTTCTAATTGCAAGGCATACAATGAGTTGAGATAAAATTTTGGATAAATTCAGATGTAAGTAGTTATGGTATATTTGTAAATAAATGTAACGGGGAAGAATATAAATAAAAAATATTTAACAATTACTCATTATAAATGAAATGTATATATTTATTTATGAACAAACTCTAGACACTAAAAATATATGTCTAAAATCAATTAAATATAATGTATTTTGGAAGAAAATAAAATAAATATATGATATTTAATTATGTACATATGTTAATTTTTGTACAATAAATATCAACCATTAATGCAAAAATCTGCTTAAAATGAAAGATATCGTACAAATATTACGTGCATAAATAGAGCCATAATAAATTTGAGAGTAAAATAAATTAATCTTGTCAATAAAAGAAGTATATAAATTAATATCTTCCGAAAAAAGGCAATGATATAAAGATCTTGACGAGAAAGGAAGATTCACAATCAAATATGCCAAGAATGGAAAAAACATTTGATGGAAAATGAAAGATTATAAAATCTTCTTATTGGCCAATCAAAACGCGCCACATGACACCATTAAAAAAGGAAGCCGAAGCCACCCATCCCCTATAAATAGGAGCCATGACCAGTTCATTTGAGACACCGAAGTTGCATCGAGGATTCAAGCAAAGGGGTAAGTCTTTAGACTCTCTCTGTATTGTTCTTCATGTTCTTCGTGTCCTTCGAAGCGTTCTTCGTCGAAAGTCACTAATTTGGACAAATGATTCAATATTGGTTGACGAATCGATGGAGTTAACGTTCTTTGTCGTATGTCCAAGCCGGAGGAAGGATCAAAGCTCTCAAAGCCGTTGAGGAATTCGTCAAAGCTAAGGGAAGGTCTCCAAAGTTCCTCTCAAAGCTTCAAGATGTTCATCGCTTTCTTCAACAAAGCATCAACTAGGCCCTCTTCGATCCAAAAGTCAAAGGGACACACTGCTAAAAGTGTTATGGAGTACCAAATCCACCTCTTCAATGATCAAAGCTCCAAAAGCTATTGAAGAGTCCATCAAAGCAAGGAAGAGCATCTAAAGTTCATCTCAACGCTTCGAAGTGTTCATCACGTTCTTCACCAAAGCATCAACTCGGCCCTCTTCGATCCAAAAGTCAAAGGGACATGCCACCAAAAGCGTTATGGAGTACCAAATCACCTTCTCAAATATCAAAGCTGCCGATCGTTTAAAGAAGACATCAAATTCATAGCCGATGACCAAATCGCCCACACGGAGACCGAAGCTCTCCAAAAGGCGGAAAAGGCAAACCAAAAATCAAAGCTGCGGATCGTCCAAAGAAGACATCAAATCCAAAGCTGATGGTCAAATCGCCAACACGGAGACCAAAGCCCTCCAAAAGGCGACAAAACCAAATCAAAGATCAAAGCCTCGGATCGTCCAAAAAAAAAACATCAAATCCAAAGCTGACGATCAAATTGTCTGCACGGAGACCAAAGCCTTCCAAAGTTTGGCATAATCAAACCGAAGACCAAATCTCTTCGGATCAAAGAAGCCATAGAAAACCACGTTGGAAAATAAATCGATCCGGAAGGAGAATCAAAGTACCCATTTAGAGAATAGGACCCACTTTAAATTCAAATCAAATATAATTTGTACAAATTTGTGTTTATTAAAAATAACACAATCTTTTGTCCACAGATTTTTGGCACGTCCAGCGGGACCTCTCTACCTTTCATCTCTCTTTCCGACGAACTTTCAACAACCAATGGCTTCCTACAAGATCAAGACTTTCAACGTTGCGTCAAAAGTTGCTGCTCAAGCCGCCGTCGCCGTCAAAGAAGTTGGCGCACCCATCGCGTCCAACACCTCAAGCGCTTCGACAAATACTGGAATGACAACACGAAGCATGACCAAAAGAGTATTGCCGTTATCTAAAGACACTTCTCCAAAAATCAAAAAGCAAAGTCTACTCTATGAAGAAGACGACAACTTCAAGAGCACTGCCGCATTGTTCACCCCTCAACAAACTGCATGTCATTCGACCGCATCAAGCTCTGCTCCGGTGATGACTACCAACGCTTCAAATATTGAGGACCAAAGGATTGTGGATCTAAGTCTGCTCTGCGAGGAAGATCAAAGCTTCAAAGACACTCTCATGTCACCTACTCATCAGCCAACTTCAAGTCATTTGACTGCATCAACTTTTGCTCCAGTAATGACTATCAACGCATTAAATGTGGAGGACCAGCTTGCCGCATTGGTCAAAATCGTTGAAGGGATGTCTCAACACATGCAACAACAAAACGCCCTCATCGAAAAACTTCTCAAAAAGCTGGACAAGCTTGAAGAAGCTAGCCATGCAACCGAAAAGCAACCATCTTCCCCAGTGGCCCAAAATAAAGCGGCAACATCTGTGGAGCAACGTCATGGCAAAGAAAAGGTGGCAGAATCAAATCCATTTCAAGGATCATCCAACTCCTTCATCCATATATCCCAACTTGACAAATACATCAACGGGGCAATCAAAAGAGAATGTAAAGGGAGTTCAAGGCCGATGCACACTTACGCCAAGCCTTACACTGCAAGGATCGACGCCCTCAAAATGCCAACGAGCTATCAACCACCAAAGTTTCAACAATTTGACGGCAAAGGTAACCCAAAGCAACATATAGCGCACTTTTTCGAGACATGCAACGATACTGGAACATATGGAGACCTCCTAGTCAAACAATTTGTGCGGTCACTAAACAACAACGCCTTCGACTGGTACATCGACTTAGAGGCTGGTTCCATCGACAATTAGGAACAACTAAAGTACGAGTTCTTGAATCGGTTCTACAGCACAAGAAGAACCGTCAGCATGACCGAACTCACCAACAACCGCCAATGGAAAGATGAGCCAGTAATTGACTATATCAACTGCTGGAGAAGTCTAAGCCTCAACTGCAAAGACCGTCTGTCCGAGGCTTCCGGTTTAGAAATGTGCATTCAAGGGATGCAATGGGGCTTGAAATACATCCTACAAGGGATCCGATCCCATACTTTTGAACAACTCGCCACTCGCGCTCATGATATGGAATTGAGCATGATGTCTAGTGGAATGTATGGACCGCCTACTGAAGATTTCTCAAAAAACGAGAAATACAACACTTCAAACAGTGGGGCAGTTATACCTTCATACTCTTGGAAACGAGGATAAACTTTCTTCACCCTCCTAGAAACGAGGATAAACTTTCTTCAATCCCTTGGAAACAAGGAAAAACTTTCTACAGCCTCCTAGAAATGAGGATAAACTTTCTTCAACCTCCTAGAAACGAGGATAAATTTTCTTTAATCTCCTCGAAACGAGGATAAACTTTCTATAATCTCCTAGAAAACAAGATAAACTTTCTACACCCTCCTAGAAACGAGGATAAACTTTCTTCAATCTTCTGGGAATGAGGATAAACTTTCTAACAAGACTCCTTAATACGAGAATAAACTGTTTAACAAAAACAAACAAATTCAATTTATTTTGAACTACGTTATGACTTGATTCCTTCACCAGATACGTAGACAACTTGGAATATAACTTCAATTTCAGTCAATTATGCCAAAAAAAAAGTCCAAAAAAAATCGGGCTTAAAAAAAACAAATTCAATTGGACAAAAAAAATGTCGTCCAAAAAAATAAAAAGCCCTTTGAAAAACTATTGGCTAAAAAAAATCAAAAAAAATGATAGCCATAAAAAAATCAATCAAAAAAAAAAATCAGTCAAGAAAATCACGCCTTAAACGCTTTGCGTCGGCTTAAAAGAGTCTCGAGGGGGCATTTTGTAGACACTAAAAATATATGTCTAAATTCAATTAAACATCATGTATTTTGAAAGAAAATAAAATTCCAATAAAATAAATATATGGTATTTAATTATGCACATATGTTAATTTTTGTACAATAAATATCAACCATTAATGCAAAAATCTGCTTAAAATGGAACATATCGTACAAATATTACGTGCATAAATAGAGCCATAATAAATTTGGCATTAAAATAAATTAATCTTGTCAATAAAGGAAGTATATAAATTAATATCTTCCAAAAAAGGGCAATGATATAAAAATCTTGACGAGAAAGGAAGGTTCACAATCAAATTTGTCAAGAATGAAAAAAAGCATCTAATGAAAAATGAAAGATTATAAAATCTTTCTATTGACCAATCAAAACGCGCCACATGGCACCATTAAAAAAGGAAGCCGAAGCCACCCATCCCCTATAAATAGGAGCCATGACCAGTTCATTTGAGACACCGAAGTTGCATCGAGGATTCAAGCAAAGGGGTAAGTCTCTAGACTCTCTCTGTATTGTTCTTCATGTTCTTCGTGTCCTTCGAAGCGTTCTTCGTCGAAAGTCACTAATTTGGACAAATGATTCAATATTGGTTGACGAATCGATGGAGTTAACGTTCTTCGTCGTATGTCCAAGCTGGAGGAAGGATCAAAGCTCTCAAAGCCGTTGAGGAATTCGTCAAAGCTAAGGGAAGGTCTCCAAAGTTCCTCTCAAAGCTTCAAGATGTTCATCGCTTTCTTCAACAAAGCATCAACTAGGCCCTCTTCGATCCAAAAGTCAAAGGGACATACCGCTAAAAGTGTTATGGAGTACCAAATCCACCTCTTCAATGATCAAAGCTCCAAAAGCTATTGAAGAGTCCATCAAAGCAAGGAAGAGCATCTAAAGTTCATCTCAACGCTTCGAAGTGTTCATCACGTTCTTCACCAAAGCATCAACTCGGCCCTCTTCGATCCAAAAGTCAAAGGGACATGCCACCAAAAGCGTTATGGAGCATCAAATCCACCTTCTCAAATATCAAAGCTGCCGATCCTTTAAAGAAGACATCAAATTCAAAGCCAATGACCAAATCGCCCACACGGAGACCGAAGCTCTCCAAAAGGTGGAAAAGGCAAACCAAAAATCAAAGCTGCGGATCGTTCAAAGAAAACATCAAATCCAAAGCTGATGGTCAAATCGCCAACACGGAGACCAAAACCCTCCAAAAGGCGACAAAACCAAATCAAAGATCAAAGCCTTGGATCGTCCAAAAAAAGACATCAAATCCAAAGCTGACGATCAAATTGTATGCACGGAGACTAAAGCCTTCCAAAGTCTGGCAGAATCAAACCGAAGACCAAATCTCTTCGGATCAAAGAAGCCATAGAAAACCAAGTTGGAAAATAAATCGACCCGAAAGGAAAATCAAAGGACCCATTTAGAGAATAGGACCCACTTTGAATTCAAATCAAATATAATTTGTACAAATTTATGTTTATTAAAAATAACACAATTTTTTATCCACACAAACAAAATTGAAAACAAACATATATTTGTGACAAAATGTACGGCTGTGTTCTTTTTGTAAAATAATCAAACATAGTTTCCTAAAAAATTTAATATATTACATATTTATTATTTTTATATTACTTATATAATTTTTGATATCTTACATAAAAAAAAAAATCCCTTTAAATCATTTAAAATAAAAAAAACACACATTACTACCTTCTGATTTTATTATTTATTTATTTTTTACTATAAGAGTTATAAAATAACCCAAAAGTTTTAGTACAAGTTTGGATGATCGAAGTGGCATAAAACATAAATTTTCCATTGAGAGTAGTATCCAACAACTATTTCTACTTAAAAATAAACAACTAACATAAAATAATAATTATCCAAAAGTGATACTATTTTCGTTGGGTTTAGATCTCATTTACTTTTTTTTTCATATTGATATTTGAATATTAGTTATTTTTTTAAGTACAGATTAAGAAAACTTATAAAAATACTTTCATTAGTGTCTTATAATGCTAATAAAAGGATATTTGTAAAAAACAATTATGCAAATATGACCATATTTTTAATGTTAATACAATGACACAAAAGATAAATGTGACTCTTAGAAGCTGACGAGAAATGTATGTTTACTTGTCAGGTTTTACACCTGATCAACTTTTTTTTCCTCCAAAAACATCAAATCAAACATCCAATTTTTATTTATTTTATTACACTGAAATCTAATTTTAAATTCAAACATCACATCAATACATATTTATATCACATCAAATAACTATTTCAATTCAAAATTTTACTATTCAAAATCAAAATTCAAAACTAAAACCTCAAGACTAAACATTTATAGCAGAAAAGGTAAAAAAGGCTATACAATAAATATTTTCAAAGTGAAGTTAATGCAAACACAAAAACATCTCCCGCTAAAAAATGTGGCGAGAAAGGCTCTGTATCATATCAAACCTTGCCATTGGTACCAACTGTTTGGGAGAGGAGAAAGCTCAAATCTCCACTTCCGCAGCAGACATCCAGCACCATATCCCCTTCTTTAGCCCTGCAATTAAATAAATCCTTTAATTTGACTTATATACCATTGCATTGTCTAATTAATTAAACATACATACAACACAGACACAGTAGCCCTAAAACCAGAAAACAAATTCTCAGTTCATCACCTAGCTCCAGTAAACCCACAAATTAATTATAAAAGAAGAAAAGATTCAATCTTTTTTGCCACAATTAAATAAATAAGAAATATATAATAATAATAATTACTAATTTGTACCCGCTCCAAGAAACAGTCCATCTCTTCCATAATCTATGCATCCCCAAAGAGAAGACATCATTCAGCTGTGGCAAACAGAAGATTCCAGTTTGAGGTTATTGTATTGTAATGAACCTTTTGTGGCTAAATGCTTACTTACTTTATCGTAGAAGGGAGCAATTCGATCGAAGAGGTCCTGGCGCTCCTCCGTGGAATCTATTCCCTCGTCATGCCTAAGCCTAACTGCTTCATCCTCCATTTGCTTGCTGACCTTAATTACTACTTGTCTTAATTAATTGTTTCTTTCAAACCCTAACATGGATCGCATCACTCTTACAACACAATGCTATTTAATTAATTAAATTGAGGGACAGCACACCACTTACTACCGGGAGGGAATCGATGTCAACCCAGACAACTTACTATTAATTTAGCATATGTCTATGTATATAGAGATGCCCGGAATCAAAATCTGTATATACGTTTTAATCGAGGCCAGTCAACCATTCATATCTTATCTTATCGTATAAGACAAATACACAAGGATATAATATATTGAATTTTTTGGTTTGTTTTGTTTTAGATTTCAATTTGAATTTTGCTTTAAATAGTATTTTAATATAGTTTATGTGTTCGATAATTACGCTATATTTTATTTTTAGTATCTATAATATATGAAAAAGGATTGTGTGCTCATTTATAGTGTGAAAAATTAATTAGGTTAACTTATTTAATATATAATATAGATATGTATAATAATATTTACTCTAATCAATATAGGTGCTGATTTTTTTTCAATCACCACCAATCTTATTTCATAATCTATTTATACTCAACAATTTTTCTTTTCCACAATTTTATTATATATACTTTAATAAATAATAATAATTTTTTTTACTATTTTATTATTATGTCTTTAGCAAGTATTTTATAATAGTCAACTTTATTGATTTCACTTTTACATTAAAATACTTTTTGGTACTACAAGAAGAGAAACAATTTATTTTTATTAAAATCTTAAAAAATTAACAGTGATAATTTATCTTTAAAATATAAACTAAACACACAGATTGTTTTTATTTAAATTTTTATTTATGAGTAATATTTATCATTTCTTGTCTCTAAATATTTATTTTTTATTACAATTTATTAATCAATACATATCTAAAAATATTATCATTTCCTCATAAAGATATCTATGAAGTAATAAAAATTCAATAATATATAATAATTCAGCGTATTTGTCTTGGTCTTAGGCATGAGCTAATACAGTTTGCTTTTTCATCTCTATTTATAGTTTGGATAAGATCAAAACCTTTTTGATATGTTGAAAATCTTCTTGTGGATAATCTTCATGTATCAAATCGATCTTCGTGATATTTTCTTGTTGGTTTTAGAAAACTTGATATGTTATACTATGCTCTCAACTATCAAGCCATGTTGTTCTACATTCTTTGCAAAATTGTCCCCAACACTCCCATCAAATAACAATGAAATTTTTATCGACGAGAACTGGCTTCCGAATGGCTCATGTTAATCAGGCCAATTTTGGAATTTTTGGGTGGAAAAAATAAAATAAAATCTGAAGTTTGAATATTGGCATATAAATAGCGAATGAAGATAGATATAAAATATCTTTTATAGTTCTTTTTGATCATTACGAAGAGAAAAGTTATGTATTTTGAATTGAATTTCAACATGCATGCAATGAATGATATTTTGAACCTATAATCTATCTTTACAATAATATATCGATGATGTTCTAGATTTTCAAAAAATTATATATCTAACATTTTAAACATTTACAAATAGTATATAAACAAATGGTGTGGCAGTCATGTTCTCTAAAATAAAATTATTCAAAACACAAATCAAATTCATAAGGAATAACATTCAATATAAAGCAAGTATTAAAACAACAAGTAGGGAATAGAACTTGTAGATAAATCTCCTAATGAAATATAAGGTAAAAATTAGTTATGATAATTCTAGGATGCTAAATCATGTAGTTGATTATTTCCTTGAATATGAGAAAAAATTGTCCATTTTTGTTTAAAAAATTACAAATTAATCCTCATTGTAGATTGTCAACATAGTGAAACTGTACAAATATTAAAAGAAAAAGTCAAAATCTTACCATATTTAGACATTCCAAATACCCATGTATTCATGATAGTTGAACAGAAATAAGAAATTGATTCAAAAGAATAATTAGTAAGATTCTGCTCAATAGTATGACTTAAACCACTAAAGAATTGTTCAAAATAAATAAATAAATAAAAATTATCTGTTATTTTTTTTTGTATATTTTAAAATATTAAAAATGCTTTATACTTCAAATGTTTTTTCAATAAAAAATCAATTGTAAATATGTAAAAATAAATTATAAAAAAGATGTTCAAAATCTTGATTTTAAAAAAAAAATCCTGATGGCAGACTCTATATTCTATCTACATTTAACGGAGTATATTCATTTGGAATTTATTGGATTTTTTTGGATTTTAAAAAGTTTACTGATTTATGTGGATTTAGAAGGTCCGTAGAGTCCAAACAGATTTTTGATGAATTTTACTAATTGATTTAGATGAATTTTCACAAATTTAATTAAATTGTTTTACGAATTTATATAAATTTAGTAGGATTGTATAATAATTCTTTTGATTAATTTATATAATTAGATAAACTTATGCAAATACAAATTTTATAAATATAATATATTAATAATTAAAGTTATTATATATTATTATATTTTTTTATAAATAAAGTTAATATTATTATTAATATAATTATTAATAAAATGAAAGAAGACACTAATACATATTTATTATGATAATAATATTTTTTTAAATATTATATTTATAATATAAAAATACATATTTTCAAGAAAAAGTTAATAATAATTTGCTAATATATTTTAGTTTTAAACTATTTTTTATCAAATATTTACTCCGTCAGTCTCAAAACAATAATAGTCTCATTTTGTCATTTTTCGTTGTCAAAACAACAGTAGCATTTTCATCTTTGGTAACTAACTCTCCATTACTTTTACAAAACCATTCTCATTTTTTTTTCACAATAATTACATAACGTAAGGGCATTTTAGTGTTTTAAAAACACTTTTACACCCACTATTAATATAATACATTTATTCTTTAATTATCGTGTACATCCCAAATTATGTGTCTATTGTAGGGAGTATAATTAATAAATATTATCATATGATTTATAGCTTATATATCTAACAACAATAACCACAACAACAATAACAACAACAACAACAATAATAATAATAATAATAATAATAATTTTAAGAAACCATAAAAATATCTTCTTATCTGAGGAGATTTTTTACGGTACAATTTTTTTATAATTGTCTATCAAAATCCAATAAAATTCATAAACTTTAAAAAGGGTATGAATTGTTGAATACGTTAGGATTTTAAAAGACTTTTAAAAGTCTCTATTGAATACACCCATATTTTAAAAAATATTTAAAAGTATAAATTGAATATACACTACAAAGAAATAATATATTTGTTACGGAATTCCGTCCCTAAAGTTCACGTAGCTAACGTAATCCCATTCCTAATTCCGTCTCTAATGTCATTAGTAACGGAAAAAGTAAATTTAGAAACAAAAAATTTTTGTTACAAAAATGATTTTTTCTTGTAGTGATACCCAAATTTGAAACACTTTTAAAAGTTTGATTGAATACACTCAAATTTTTAAAATCCTACAAAATCCTAAAGTTGTGATTAAATACACCCCCTTATTAGTTTTGATATTGAATTCATTAATAGTTCTCTAAATATTTTTCCTGATTTCTTCACCCGGAAGTTTTTACATGGCAGTGGTAAACTATAAATCTAAATCTATTATACCACTTCAATATATTTTCTTCAATAATACTCTCAGGTCGTACAAACTTAGTGCTGTAAATTTTATATCTGATCTAAAAGAAGAAAAAGTCTAACTCATTTAAGGTGTGTTAGTTTTGTGAAATAGTGTGAAATGATATTTTTTTATGTGAGGTATTAAAAATTGTGTATATACATAAAAAAAAATAATAAATATGTGTGATATAGTAATTTTTTTGGGGGAAATGTGTAGAAGACTTTTTACTAAAAGAGCACATGACATGGATAGAATCAAATCCATGACATCTAATCTCAATTTAAGAGAAGAATCAACTACAAAATTGAATAAAAGAACCGGCGGATAATTTGGAATCAATTGACGAATACTCCTCTCGACAAACACCTTCATGAATCCACACGAACTGTTTGAGGCTTGTGAATGCATCTTTCATCTCTCACGTAAATTGCATTCCGAAGGCTCAAAATTTAACCCTCTCAGTTGATTGGAATCACTCCAATAGATGGTTGGAATCTCTCCGAAAAGAAGGAAACTTCTTCAAAGTGGTAGTTACTTTATGAAAATGTATGGAATGAATGTTTTACAAGTAGAATATAAGGAATATATTCTATGAAGGCCTAATATAATCTGGGCCCATACATCTAATCAAAAATCAACGGCTCACAATCTCTAAACAAAGTAATGTCTTTGATCGGGTACGGGTCGTGATTGGTCCGCCGATATTCGGGTTCAGGTTTGGGTCATCCGATACCATGTCATCCTCTCCCCCTTCGGCTGCCTTGTCCTCAAGGCTAGGCTCCACCACAGTAGAAATATCATCGGCATGATAAAATAGACTCAAGTCGGCAACATTGAAGGTCGCGTTCACGCCAAACTCTTCCGGAAGTGCAATACGGTAGGCATTGTCGTTAATGCGCTCCAATACATGATATGGTCTAGCTCCATGAGGGGAAAGTTTCCCACACCGCAGCCCCAGGAAACGTTCTTTACGCAAGTGCACCCACACCTAATCGCCGGGTTCAAATATCACACGCTTCCTTCCTCGATTAGCATATCGTGCATATGTTGCGGCCGCCTTGTCAATCTTCTCCCGTAATTTGGCATGCAGCTCCTTAATTGATGTAGCACGATCCCTGCCACTAAAATTCAGATGCTCACTACTAGGTAGTGGTAGTAAATCCGTAGGAGTTAAGGGGTTAAAACCATAAACAACTTCAAATGGAGAGAAATGAGTAGTAGAGCTAACATGTCTATTATAAGAAAATTCAACATGGAAAATGCATTCATCACATGTCCGCCCACTATCATTTACCATAGCACATAACAAATTACCTAACGTGCGATTCACAGCTTCCGTTTGGCCATCCGTTTAGGGGTGACATGTGGTAGAGAAAAGTAAGCGCGTCCCAATTTCTTGCCAAAGACTCTTCCAGAAATAGGATAAAAACTTCACATCCCGATCCGAAACAATGGTTTTTGGAACCCCATGCAATCTCACAATCTCCCGGAAGAACAACTTCGCCACATGACTCGCATCTGTTGTCTTCGGACAAGGTATAAAGTGCGCCA